GAGGTGCGGATGAACATAAGGTCGAAACTCATTTGCTGTAAAAATAAAACCAGGCGTTAGCATGATCGTTCGGGTTAATGATCATGTAATGCCACCACAAGCTCCGCGGTATGCTCCCAAATTGACGCTGCATCGTGGCTCACATTGGCTCTGTAATAATAGGATAAATTTTACGGGCACGCAAGTGCTCATCTACGTCGGCCACAAGAAGATTAGCGCGTGCAGACAGTCGTATTCTTGGCTGCCCACACGCTTCAATTAAAAGCCAATTTATGCCCACGACGATTTGCCGACAACTTGACCACCTCGAGCGAAATCGGTGCTTCCTGTTACGTCATCATTTCTTTCCTTCCTTCTTTCTTTCTTTCTTTTTTCTTCTTTAATTTTGTTGCACTTAATTTACCCTGTCAAATCTCTCCTTGTTTTATTCCTATTCCCCTTCTCAACGAATTTGCATGCATCGATATAGGTATTAGCCGCTAATGAAGGCGCCCGGTTTTTCTGCGCTCTGTTGCGTTGATGTTCATCTCGCCCTCTCATTTCTCACCTCTTGTTTCTCTTCTCTCTCTCTCTCTTTCTCTGCGTCTGTTACCCTCTCTCTCTCCCTCTCTCTCTTCTCTTGGCTTGAATACGTTGATTCTAAATAAGAGAACGTGGTTTGATTAAATTGTTCATTACTGAGATCTCACCTAAGACTGTTCGCAAGTATCGATTCAGATCGCAAGCTCAGCTGCGGTGGAACTGTGTGGGCCTCTCTAGTTAAGTACGGGCAGTCGCAATGTAGCCCTCTGAAGGCTTCCAAATTCGATTTCATTTAGGATGATGTTTTGAAGACATATCGTCGGGGCAGTTAGCAAGCCGACTGCTCAGAGCAAGTAGAGGTTTCTAATGGCACTATAAAACCAAAAAGGTCAGAAGACGTTTCGACATGCGTGTGCAAGCCTGGTTGATTCTATAACATCTCTGCTCGTTAGTGAGCAGGCTTTCCAAATGAACGCTTAAATATTGTTTTGCCGTGTCATTACGAACAGCACCTTGAAACCTCAACGGAAGCGTTAAATCAGTTTAGAGTTGGCAATTACCTTCGTAAGCTCCGTTTTCTGTTCATTTGGCGGCAGAAATTATTATGGATGATTGAGACGTAGGCCGTATTTTATATACTGCATTTCATACATATACCATGGCACCCGTTGGACGTCACTGAGATTCCACCTTGCTTTCGTGTACTTTGTACTTTCAGAGCAGAACTGTTAGGCTCGACGATGACCATGTGTCGCAGGTGGCAAGTTATAGTCACCATTAAACCGGATGCACCATCTTCATTCCCATCTCCCGCTTCGCACTTTCGACACGTACGCCAATTTTTCCGGTGTGGAAGACAATAACTCTGATCGGTCAAAAAACGAGCAAAGAAAGAAATAGAGAAAAATAATAATTATGGCGGATGACTCCGGGAAAAGCTTGGTGTTCACCGTTCCTGACATCGCGTGGTACACGATTCTCTACCCTTTCACCTCCTGAGAAACAAGACTGCCACGACTGGAATCGAACCCTCAACCTTCCGGGCAGCAGCCGTGAACCACCGCCATTGGTCTACCGGGGCGAACCGACCGAAAGAGAAAGAGAGATAGAAAAAGAGGGAAATGCTTGCCAGAAGCTTTCTTGGTGAGAACAAGCGCAGCCATGCATAGCCAGCATAGCAAGGGGTGAGAAATAAATAGGTAGGAGAGTAAGAACCTAGCCGAACCAAGGCCAGCTGTAGGTGTACAATAGCTATTCTGTTACCCATGCGTGTGTGGCTTCCTACAGCCTGTGCTATTTTCTTCCCACTAGAAGGAATGATAGAAAGAAACGAGCTGGGAATTCAACCTATGTCACGTCCGGTTACTTACGCTTCGTTTCTGCATAATAGATAAAAGAATAAAAACGACAAGTGGGAGCCAAATGAGAAGTGCGTAACATCTGGCACACTGAGTGTCACCTTGCGTCCTGGTGGTACTCAATCCTTGTTTTCCTAAAAGCATATATTCAGCACAACTTAACCCAAGTACTTTCATCAAAGGTCAGGCGCCACGGGGTTTCGTTGTGTGCTAACCTTTGCAGGGTCTTTTTTATCCTAGTACACCTGAGTCCTCGGCCGTATACTGAGCTATTTTTAACTACACGTGTTTGATGCATACCAATGTTGATGTGCTCAACAAACCTATTAAGTGCCTCTCTGAAATGGTGTGACTGACCCTAACAATGACCTCGACAGCGTCATGCGGACTGATGAAGTGCCGATGAATAGTAAGAACTGTAGGCATGCCACTAAATAGGATTTGAAGAAATCCTTACTTTCTACTGCTTCTAAGTCATTCTTGCATAAATGTGCAAGTTTATGAAAAAAAGACTTCAACAAAAACTGAAAAAAAGGGCAAATATTATTCATGCGCAGTACGCTCGACTCATTATGACTCAATTCTAGTCGTTGCATGCCACAACTATGTGTGCCTGTAGCTAGCCAACAGACAGGACCCGTATCACAAGAAAGTTACTGAGTTTGTCCCTAAGTGCTAAAGAATCAATCATACGGGTACATTGATGACGGAGGTGGTCGGCGAGTGGCAACCGTAGCACTTATGAACAAACCACCTTGCATTCTCGCTGCCTCTGTCTCTGCATTCTTCGGCAGTTGCGAAACGAGCGCATTGTGTATCGTATTTCATCGATCTCCCACACTTATGAAAGGAAACAACGCGAAAAAAAAGAACAAAAAGAACAGAAACGTGACGCAAGCGCTGTTATGGGACCCACGGGGTTGTAGCCAAGGCCACACGAGGCAAAAAAAAAATTTGGCGTGACACGCAAGCAAGTTGTTGCATAATGCGTAAGAATTTTCTATCCGTGAATGTATGTAGCTCTTTATTACTGTTTCTGGAGCTATGCGTGGAGTGAGCGAGGGTTTTCTGTTAGCATATTAGTACTATATTATCACCAGGACAAGTTAATTCTAGTTATGCGACAATGACTATTCTCAGGAAAACTCAGAGCTCAGGGATGGGCGCATAAGGGTTCATTAAACTGATTATTTACGTTCTTTTTCTCTTTTGCGGTATAGCGCCAGCAACTTATATGTAACTATAGTACTGGCCATGCAGCAAACGAGTAATACATTTCCCTTCAGCTCTTTTTTTCTTCTGCTATCGTGACTTCAAATGTTCGTGAGGACGGCTAACAAGGTCTAATTGATCTTTCAGTAAATGTACAATTACTTGTCGTTGGATGACACTGACAAAAATTTGTATCTCTTCTTTGCCTGCGGCGTGCATGCGTGTTGTTCCTTGTTTTCAATATACACATAATCCTGCGTGGTTGTTCGTGGTCACGTGATCGAGCCATTCATCGTACACTCTTTCGCAGACAGTGTTCACGGAAATACGGGAGAGCAGAATAACAGATACGAAAGTGTGCTCTCTGCAACATCTGAGAACGCTTAGACAACTGAATTCCTCTTATGTCTGACTCGATAACACTATTCCAGTGCCCTAAGAACACACTCAATAATATGTTATCGAGCAAAACTTGTTTCGCTGGAATTCCTTCCGACATCACAAATCTGGTGTCACTGAAACAAAGTGCTCTGGAAGACGTCAGGGCATGTGCTTCTGACGAGCTAAGCAAAGAGCCACATAATTACGATAAAATACGCATTTAAACAAACAAAGTGTGGCATCAAGCCCTAACACCGTGTTGCCCCGTTTTGAGCTGGTCCCATCGTAACGATCATTTCACAAACTAGATGCGCTTACTGCGATTGCTATGTAATTCGCGGGAATGGTTCACAGATTGCGTATTTTGATTCATTTTCCTTTATAGTTACAGCTGCTTCTCATAATCAGTCCTGTCGAATGGCTGGAGTTGGTTATAACAGGGGCGTGGCTTATCCCTATGGCCGCGATGACAAATGGCGAGATGAAATAATAATAATTGTGTGGGTTTAACGTCCCAAAAACCACCATATGAATATGAGAGACGATGTAGTGGAAAGCTCAAAAAATTTCGACCACCTGTGGTTTCTTAACGTGCACCGAAATTGAAGCACCCGGATCTCGAACATTTTCACCTCCATCGAAAATGGGGCCGGTCGCAACCGGGATTCGATCCCGCGACCTGCGGGGCAGCACTCGAGCACCTCGACTACTAGACCAGCGTGGAGGGTGGCGTGATGAAAGTGTAGTGGTAATCACTTTTATGAGATATGATTCAACGTCGTGGATTTGCCTTAGGGTGTTGCGACGCAGTGTATATTGCATAGGCGTTTGCCGGAGGAATGGAGAATTGGAATTGTTCATAACCTCTATTATTTATCGTAGCGTTATAAGCTCGGACTAAACTACGCCATGTTTTTGCAGAATCCTGTTAGGGGTATTTAAATATCTGATCCCCATAAATCTTGTAATAAGCACACAGTCTATAGATAATACTCTCATTTTGTACAAAGCACAGCTCTCGATGCAATGAGACACACATATGGGTCCTCCACTGATATAACCTAATAAATTTTTGCGATCGGCCACCACATCAGATGACTCTCGGAGACAACAGTATGGTACGCGCAATCGCCATTCCTTAAGATATTCCTTACATACGCTGCAACGTCTTTTGCCAGTTAGTATAGTATACCCGTTTCAGTTCCTATCCTCTAAACAGCGTCTTCAGTGATCTCGACTCTTCTTTTGCGCTTTTAATGCGCCTGTCTTTACTTCTTAGATGTTATAACCTTCCTCCTGGCATGTTAGCGCTCTCAAAAGAGCCATTGACCACCCTGCAAAAGAAGTATCAGCTTACTCTCCATAACATTTTCCATGGATTATCATCTTACCTTCTAATATTACGAGCTAGAACACGCAGATAGAGAGCAAGATTATCAGGCGAATCAGTGGACGCGCTAGTTGACCCCCACTTTTCGACCGGTGTGTCGGCCCTGTCAGGGCAACGCGCACGCGTCGGCGACGCCATCAGCTGTCCTCGTCCTCCCGGAAGTAGGTGAGCCAGTACACCACGTTGACCACAATGAATGCGAGCGGAAAGACGACCCTGGAGATCCTGTCGACCTTGCTGACGCTGTTGATCCAAAGTTCCTGGATCTGGCTGGACATTCGGCGCCGCGCCATCAGCGAGGGCCTCTTCTGGCGACGATAGTCTCGCCGCCTCGCGCTCCTCCGGCTGCTCGGTCTCAAGCCGTGCCTCGCCGTGAAGTGCCGTGCGGGGCACTCCGTCTGCTCTGCGGGTGCTTCCAGCCGGCCGTTGGCCGAACCCGCCACCAGTGCATTCTCCCCGGGGGGCGGGGAGTCGGGAGATCCGACGAAGGCCACGGTGGCTTCGGGTCGCTCGGCATCGGTGCAATAGATGGCCTGCAAAATGTGTAGGAACGACGTGGTTTATTCAACAGAGTGAACGATGAGAGAGAACCACTGCAAATATTTAGCCTCGCGCGGATGATTACCCGTGTAAAGTGAAGTGTTTTGGCGCTGACGGAGGAAGGCGGGAGCGTTTTAATGAGAACTAGAGGCATTTGCTCGGAGTCATGTCTAACATGCTGCTCGTAAGAGTTAAAATCAGATATGTGGTACACACTGTGCGCTGACAGGTACACGGAACAAGTGTCTGTTTCAATGGAACGAGTGTCTCTTATTCGGCAGAGCGTCTCTAAATCCAGAAGAGATGTTATCGCGTGAGATGTGCACGCACCTTTGTATAGCTTGTGGGCTAAAAACGTCTCACAGCACGATAAATTGGCGTTCCATCAAGACAACTTTACCTGCTGGCTCGAGATCTCACACGCACGTTCTGGTCGTCTACCAGCTTCCAAAGGTGTCAATTTTATGAACTGGATCCTTCGCTCAAGCTAAAGCTGCCATCACAACTTTCCCGCTCCGATGCGACACTGTTATGCCGCCTTTGGTTGGGTGTTGCATTTACAAAGGTGTACTCCTTTCGCATTGGTATGGCAGACACCTCTACATGCGACTACTGCGGAGCTGAAGAGACCATCGAACACGTCCTGTGCAGCTGCGCTTGCTACGACACACAGCGACGCCAGCTCCGGACGGTTTTGAATCGACTTGACCCCGGACCATTTTGTGTGCAGAAGATACTAGGACCTTGGGCATCTGCCTCAGTTGCGCAGAAAGCAACTAAAGCACTGCTACTTTACCTCAAGTCAACAAACCTGAGCGACCGCCTGTAGACTGTGTGTGCTCCCCGAGTGTGCTCGTGATTGTGTGTACCTTCTCATCTTTCTGCAACCTCTTTTCTCCCCTTTATCCCTTCCCAGTGCAGGGTAGCAAACCGGATTTGCGTCTGGTTAACCTCCCTGCCTTTCCTTGCATCTTTATCTCTCTCTCTCTCTTGATGTCTTTGAATTTAGAAAAGTGAGTGTAAGCATACAGGCACAGACAAATAGAAATATGTGCGTCCGTTATGGCGGTATTGTGGGTCACTGTTTTTAGTAAGTGGCGTCTCGATAGTTTTCTCAAATTACCCACGCTGACGATAGCGAATTTTATCAATTTTGTGTGGTTTTTTTTTGGGAGCATCTGTTTATGCATTTATGTCGGATTTGACATCCAAGTTTCAAAATGATCGTTGAAATTTATGCTTACGTGCACAATTTGTGAAAGTATATTGATCGACGCTGACGGAAGTTGCAATCATGATATTTTTTGAGGTTACGTAAGGCAGAATGGCGCGAAAGGCCTTACGAAATACGAGTGTATAGTAGCAACAAACGCACTGTCCCCAGTCTCTCAATGTCAACAAGGAGAGAGAAATACATGAAAATAAAAACGTGGGGAGGCTATAGCCTGGTCCAAGCAGCCGGTTAGCTGCACTGCATCCTGCCCTCATGACAACCTCTTCATTCCAAATAAATTAAACTTGTTTTAAAGAGCACACTTTTTGTCCACTGGAGCATGGACGAAAATGAAATAAACTTTAGAACTTCTGGCGCCTTGTCGGAGTTAATGAAACAGAATTCGGCGATCTGTCAAGCACAGAAGGTCATGACAACGAGCAGCAGTGTGTTGACGTCGTATAAAACTGCTGGAGCCCGTATAACTCCCGCCTCACCGTGTGGTCCTACGCGTCTCACCTGTCGAGCGCATGTTTCTGTCGCCTCATCCGTACGTCCCGACAACATGTCAGAGGATCGTCCCTTTCGACCAGCATGGTGAACGTGCAACCGCCTGTCAACCTTCTGGAGAATGGCTACATTGTGTCCCTTGAAAATTTTACACCCTGGATCTTCAAGTAAACCTGTCTGCACGCCATTCACTTCTCTCTCGACATCGCAGGCTCTCGTGTACAGATGAATATCACCACACAATTCACCGACCTGAATGCTCCTTAGACGAGCAATGTCTGATTGACACTTCTATATAAAAAAAACGCGCTAGCGTTCGGCAAGTAGCCTCGTTGTTCACATGTCAAAAGCCTGATGGCAATGTTTAAAAACATAGAGACAAAGCAGCGCTATATATTCCACTACCTGCGCTCTTTTTTGTGCACTTCCTTTTTTGTTGTTGGAATTGTATAAAGCACTTTTTGCTTGGCTTTCACATTATATTCTACAGTTGGAAACAGCGCGAGGTAAACGCAGACAACAATGGTCCTGTGTGAATTCTTGTACGTGTTTAATCCGCGCTGTTTCTAACTTCGGATACGTACCAGCTGGCTCGTATTTACTCTCTTTTAGGTTCCCTTTTCCCGTCCCCCAGCGTAGGGTAGCCAACCGAGTATGTGCCTCGTTAGCGTCCCTGCCTTCTATTTCTTTGTTCTTCCTTCATTCCTATATTCTGTGGTTACTCAGCAACGCTTGTAAGACAAATATTTGCCTTCTGGACACTGTACAAGCACAGTGACTGCGTCATCACTCCCTTAGGCATGGTAACCTGTTGAGTGAGCCGTGACTGTCTCCCGACATCATCGGGATACAGGCATAGCGCATTATGGCGTCGGCATCGAATCATTGCACACACAGTGGCAGATGGTCGAGACGCGTAGCCCGCCTTTGCTCGGTCCTTTGTTCAACCAAAAGTCAGAAAGTAGACGGGCAGTGCATTGTGTGTTCGCGTCCATTCAGCCACGACAAAGCAAGGATATATCTCGCCCAAGAAAACCACGGCATAACACGCTTGCGACGGCTGTCGCCTCGCATACGTATTCTGGAAAGGCACTATTTCCGGCTCTGTCCTCTCATACATTGCCACAACGTTCGATCGGTGCGTGGTGAAATGTCACTGCGCCTCTGCTAGAAGCACTCGTATTCTACAAGACGCCGGACCAAGTTACATTATATAGGTGTACTTTCCTGTAGTGTAAAATGTCACTACCACTTAGACAACAGAAAGAAACAATATTATAAAGAGATCGCCTCAAAGTTTTGTCAGGTTCAGAGGACAGACAACACACATGGCGAGAACACTGAAACAGCGTGCTAGCACATATGCCCGCTTAGGACGAATGCTCAAGTTTGGTTTATCACGAATCATATATATATATATATATATATATATATATATATATATATATATATATATATATATATATATATATATATATATATATATATATATATATATATATATATATATATATATATATATATATATATATATATATATATATTATATATATATATATATATATATATATATATATATATATAATATATATATATATATATATATATATGTATATATATATATGTATATATATATATATATATATATATATATATATATATATATATATATATATATATATATATATATATATATATATATATATATATATATATGCCAGAGTCTTCTGGGACGTGCCTGAGCATGCCGTCGTTCCAGTGCAGGCAGTGTAGACAAGAGTGTTGACCTCAGTACAATACTGTTTTCATCTAAATGCAGCGACGTGCTTTTTCAAGTATTGAAATGGTTTACTGCTGCTCTTTCTTCCAAACGTGTTAGAAGATAGTCAAAGCTTCTACTGTTGATTGAGGCTCTTGGCGTTCTTGCGCCACGGTTTCAAAAAGACCCTTTATAACCAGTTTGCATAATACCATAAGCAGCTGCGTTGCAGGTGAGGTAAGTTTGGTCCGTATAGCTTCGTATAAATATCCTGTTTTGTGCCGCGAAAGAGACAGGAGTAAGCTCAAAAGTTATACACACATCACGCAAAGCTGGAGCATCGTGCGACATGCGTGCAGTTTTGATGTTGTCCTAATCACCTGTGAACCTAAAAACATCGTGTTGACTGCAAATTTAGAAATTCAAATGACCGATGCCTAAACAGGTGCGTCAAGATATACATGTCCAGTCCTATATGGCCGCAAACAAATTTTCTTAAACAACCTTATGTGCTCCGTTTACTGAAGAGATTAGTAGCACATGTTGGCACCATTCGGGTGACACCATCTACTTCTTGTTTTAGCAACCCACCGAAAAAGAAATGGAGCTTCACGAAATATAGCACACAATATCACTCAATTCGTGTTACACGGTATAAGTGAATTCTACGTGAATCACGATGTGTTACACGAAATTCTAGATTTTACGCGTTCTTTGGGATCATGCTTTCTGTCTTTTTTTTCTTTTTTTTCTCCACTATGGGGCTATTTTATAAATTAAGCGTGCACGACGCAAAAACACTTACGTTGCCAGGTAACGAGATCATCTTTTTCGAGTGTGACCTCTGGCAGTGGTCTCCAGCCTGCCCAAAGGTCACAGATTCTAAGGGCTGCTGCTCGTCACTACCGCTGTCTTCATCACAGCTTTCTTCCGACGATGCCTTCAGGCGTTCGGCTTCCATCTCCGGGCAGTAATAGAACTCTCCGCTTCCAACCTGCGACAGCATGTCAGCCAGCGTTCACGCAACGGTATTTGACACTCAGATTGTTCCACGCTTTGACAAGCAGATCGTCCTCAAGGAGCACTTTCACGAGCAATCGCAAGTCCACCGAAACTCCTAGCATGGTCGCTCAATAGAAAAAAAAAAGGAGGAATCTCTGGGGTTTCGCCGACACACGTGCACAAGCGTGAGAATTGTGTTGACAGTTCCGTCTGCGTTGGCGCTTGCAGACGTAGGGCCACGCAAATTTCGAAAAAAAAAGAAAGATAGAGACAGGAAAATGATTGCGGGTTAGCTGAGCTGAGCCCAGTTGTGCCAGCGAAAACTTGTTTAGTTGGTTGGCTAGCACTGGTTTGAGCAGCGCAACCTAAAACGAGGGACTAAGGGAAGGCAGACAAGGACGAACTTGCGTGTTTTTCTTTCGTCGCTCGTTTTGAGTTCCGCTGCTCAAACCAGTGTTAAGCTATGATTAACTAGCTCTGGTGAATACCGTGTTGTTGTTTACTTGGTTATATGCTTCATATCCTCGCAGCTGAACCGCGATTTGTCAACTGAACGTTGTGTCTTGTCGAACATTCCGTGTGTGCACTTACTACCCTCGTTTCGTTTAGTTTTCGAAGCCGTCGCCCCAGGTGACGTGAGAAACGCCAAGTTCGTAAACCACCCATGAAACAACTAACAGTATATGAGAACGCTGGTGGCGCTCCTCAGTTAGCAGAAGCGCGCGCTCCTTGCGTTTTCACCTCGCGCACTGAGAAAGGGCATTTCAAGAAGTGATGGCGTAGGAGACAGGCTAGCCGATGAACGCATCCATTGTACGCTCGTGCACAACTGCAACGCCACAACTAAATTTCGAAAGGTTTGTCGTGGACATAGTGTAAAGCCATGGTCACAGTGTATCCGTTCTTCAGTTCAGTTCAGTTTATTACTCTAAAGGCCCCCCTTTCTAGGAGGGGCATTGCATAAGGGGTGGGGTTTTATTTAGGTTAACAATAAACAGTAAGAGTTGTTTTAGCATTGACGATGGCCAATAATACGGTCTTGAAAGGCACATGATGAGGCGATGTCGGCGATGTCCCGGGGGAGGCCGTTCCAGTCCGTGGCTGCTCGAAAAAAGAACGAGGCAGAAAAAGCAGTGGTGCGCCATGATGGGCAGGAAACCTGAAATGGACGACTGGTTCGATGAAATATGCGTGCTGCGGCTACTATATAAGGTGGCTGATTGAGGGAGGAATGAATTCGCTTAAAGGCCACGCGGTAACACACAGTAGAACTCCCTCGACTGGGCCCGTAAAATTATCACTTTAAAAACCGCGTTGTGGGGTGTGCCAGACGTTGTATCCCGAAATCCACGGCGTTTCATAGTGTCTCCAAATGACAGCAAAGAATGTCAAACGTCTGTTGCCGCTTCGGTCTGACACTGAATGGCGTTAAAAGCCATTATGACAAAATAGAATATCGTTGCTTCCGACGAAAATAGTGCATACAGAGGAGTGTTGACGACACAATCCCAAAATCGTTGCCGAAAGTTAGAGGTTCCTCGAGAAAACCCGCGACACAAAAGCACTCGTCCTTTCTTTGAACCAACTTGGTGTGACCTATATATAGTTACTACATATAGGGACTGTTTTAGGAAAGCAGTCATATACAGTAGCTTGAGAGCGACCCGTATTGTGATCCTACAACGTCAATGAGGCCAACTAGCCTACTTCCACTGTTTTCTGGGCTAACGATGGGCTCAGTATGTTTATTTTTGTTCTTTAAGTGATTGTTCATGCTCTTAGTATACCAATAGAACTTATAGTTATAATTTTTGAATTATGATGAGCTACTATTGTCTGCATTTATGAGCTTAGATAACAGTTTACATACGCCTTGTCATCGTTCGCAACACTAACGCGCATGTATCCGATATCGGCGTATGAACAGTCACTGATTTACGACAGAAACCAACACGTACAAGTTGAACATACTCCCTGTGCCTCAGAGAATTATTCCATCTAGTTTAACAGAGCTGAAATGGAAACATCATTTCAATCGCCTATTTCATTGGCTGGCCTGTAAGATCATTCTAAATTTCACAAGTATGGCCCTATTATTCTTCCGAACCAACTACCTTTATCTTCCACAGGCTAGCAAACCTGATGTACACCTGATGTCCTGTCTGCCTTCCCGCTCTTTCTGCGAGTGAACCACTGCCGTTATAATCCAAATCCGACAGCTGCTATAGTAGAAAATCTACATCTATAATAGCCATTGACAAAATGTTAACGGCACGTTGTTGAGCCTCGCCTTGGTCAAGAAGGTCAAGCAAACAGCTCGCAGTGTGAAATGAAAGCTATAACTGTATCTTGGATTAGAGAGCTGTTTTTATAAAGCACCAATTTCACCTTAGTTTTAGCACATACAGTTTTTTCTTGCTGCTACACAATATTACCTTGGTGAAATAGTGGACGATAGCAAATTCCACAATGGTGGCGAATACAAAACCAAAGCCAATGGCCACGTAGTAGTCCAGGGCAGTGCAGTAAGGAACCTTTGGCAAATCGTTCCTGCTTTCCAATGCCAGGAAAGTCATCGTGAGTATAGTGGTCACACCTGTTACGGAGCAGAAGCGTAACATGAGTTTCCATTGAATCACAGCTGATCAAGTGTCGTTGTAACAAGTTTCAAACGTAAAACAGGCTGCCAACTGTCACAGCTACAGATTTTTTTTTTACTTTCAAGATAACAGTCTAGACAGCATAACCACGCAATACATTCCGACATTTTTTTAAAGAAACAATAATTCAGTTGCATCCACACAAAGAAATTTTCAGCAGGGCGAGGCGTAAATCACTAGGCTGACTTTGCCGTATTCGATTTACCTGTTAATTATTTCCTGCGCACTTGAATAGACTTTTGGTATGTTGTCAAGACCATGTTTTAGCTGCATGTGTTTTCTTCGTGCTTTTTCTTTCTACCTCTCAAAACTCTTCCGACATGTTGCCTTCTATTTCACGCTAGTCGACCACAATGGCTCAATCCTTGCAGGAATCCGAGCTATACGCTTCGCTTACGCATGTTCAATTGTTTTGCTTTTCAGGCGGGTGGATGTCGTACGTCATCGCGTGCTGTAGTATTCTGGCGCCTTCGCTTGTTGTAAACAGAGCACCGTGTGTAGTATATCGAGCGCTCTCTCGCACCAAGAAGTCTTCTGCATCTTGTTCTTTGCGCACCTTGGTGATGATCATATATCATTATGAGCCAAAAAAAAAACAACTAGTCGCTCGGCGTAACCCAGGAAATCATGTATAAATTAGATGAAAAGATAAAGCAAGCATGAAATAGACAAAAAGAAAGAATAGGCAGAAATTTAGAAACAGCAGGAATGAGAAATAAAAGGAAATGAAGAGAGAGAGAGAGAGAAAAGGGAGAGAAAAAAAAAGAGAAAAACAGAAAATGAGAAAGAACGAACATAGAAGATGGACAAAGAAGGTCGCCCAGCTCCGCACGTTCCTCAGGCTTGGCTGCCTTGTTCCGAAGGTGCCTTAATTTTATACAGTTTTTCCTGCTTCTTTAATAACTGCACTTGGTTATGTACAAAAGCCCCGCGGTGTTTTTCTCCCGTAGGTGTTAGCACGCCTCCTTGGTAAATTTCAATTTCGCCTGTGAAGAGATCCGGGCACATACGCTCAGCACCTCACCGCAAGCGTAGGGATTTCATAAGATTTCTTCGCTAGTTCGTTTCATTTTGATTCCTTTTGCCCATAGTACAAAAGCTGTATTTCCAAGTCCTCCTTTACCTTTTATTTTTTCGCGGCGTAGACAGTCCCGAACTTCACCGTTGTGTGCAGCGTATAACTACAGAGACGTGTTCATTTGTCACAAGTAAGTTTGTACAGACTGTCTGCACAAAAACACCGAAACTAATCGTGAAATTAAGGTAATGCATTTTGAGAACCGAAATTGCGTGTGGTCACTTTAAGTGCACCCGATGCGCAATTTTGGCTTTGATAACTGTGTCTTCCAGTGTTGCGAACAGGTTTTAATGTGTTCAATAAACAACAAGAAAGAAATGCTCGATAATAATAAGCTCAAAAGTTTTTAAGACGTGAAACGGCGACAAGCACCTACCTTTGCGTTGAGAAAGAAAGTGTTAAATGAAGGCACAAGGCCTCGCCTTGCATTTGTCTCTAGTGCAACTTGACCATGGTTAGCCTACTTTTGACACACGAAAAAAAAAAAAGACAAATCCTCGCAAAGTTTACCGAGGGCGATCCTGTCAGCTGTGGCTTCTCGGTTGATCCAAAAGGACACCCAGGAGAGCACCACCAGCAAGGTGCAGGGTGCGTATACCTCGATCAGGAAGTAACCCATGTGACGCTTCAGCTGAAAGCTCACCAATAGCATGGCGAACGGTCCTTCTGTGAAAACCAACAAGTTGTGGGTGAAGCCCCCAAAAAATGTGACATACGCGTACTTCGTATTTCACTCCGATGTCAGAAGCCCTTCTCTAATATGTTTCCTAACACTAAGCCTATATTCCTCGGCTGAAGTGTGCGAAAAAAATAAGTACTTGATCGTTTTTATCACGTGGTTCATGAAGACTAAGTATTTCACAAAACTCGAACTTGACAGCCGCTGCCAGGCTTCAGTTTTCCTTTACGATCCCCTGTTGCTGCTGATGTCAGGCAATACCGATTCTTCCTTTTACCTTGTTTTCTTTACTTTTTTCAATAGGCTTTTGAACTAATGCAGAGTTTTCTATTTTCATTTCTCCGGAACAGATGCCAACACTTTCTTTTTCTGACAGCTTCCTTATGGCATTCAACTCGGAGCACGGAGTGACAGCTGAAGCCACCTGTCAGAGGCAGGGAAACAAACGCGGCTGTTGTTTCAAAGCCAACCATTGTCCACGCTCACTGGCGACAACTTGAAAACAGTCGGGTATTTCTTCTTCTCGCGATTTGTAACATTCTATTCTATACTTTTAGACAACCTTTAACGAGTTGTAGCAAAGAAAACGCGATTGATATGTCTTGCCTGTTTGGGACTGTTCTTATGAGACACAACTCTTCCTTGGAAATCGCAAACGCGCGTTTAGATATGAACTCGGTTCTGCTCTCAATCAAATGTGTTTTGTGCGTGAGGTAAAGCGTGATTGCACAGAATAAAAAGCACTTCAGCACCTTGATTCAGCTCTTGATGAGGCACTGATTGCACTAATTATCAATAACTTCTGAATCCTTACATGCCCCAACCAAAGAATGATTTTGAGGCACAACGAGGAACGTCTGTCAGAGAACGGAAGCTACTATAATAGCCGGCACCACATGTTGCAACCCACCTCTCCTGAACTTCATTTGCTACTAAAATAAGTGCATTGAACAAACGCTTAAGGTTTGGAGTTTCGACTAAATGACCTCTCTCTCTCTCTCTCTCTCTCTCTCTCTCTCTCTCTCTCTCTCTCTCTCTCTGGCTGGGAGTGCTCAGTACCCGCGGTGTTGCTATTAACTCTTCCTTACCTTTCCTGGAAAAGTCGCTTTGATTATCCGTTGGTGTTCGGACGAGGTCGAACTGGTTCAATTTCATATCGGATGCAATCACCACACGACGTTTCGGATTCCAGCGAAACATCACCTCTTTTGCAGGATACCCAGCTATTGTGAAAGAAAGGTGTACAATAACTAGAGTATGCAAAGTGAAAATACTTTCAAAGAACTTCCAAATGATGAAAACAAGCGGTAGCTACTTTCTATCGTAAAGTAAATATTGCAGTATACTGATTAAGATGTTGCAATATTTTGAGCAATTCATTAGAGAAAAAGATGGGTTTACTGAGAGCAAAGCTCAGAGGTCGGCCTGAATTTATTTTTAGTCCTGCTATTCCGCTTTAGGAAAGAGAAGGGGTTGGCAAAAAGCGGAGAGAAAAGGTATTGCATAAGCATTGTATAGGCACTATTAAAACCATTACAAAATTATGCTATAGGCGCCGCATCTTAATATTGCTGAAAAGATCATATTGTTTATTTTCTTCGTCGTTCACACGATCACTACTTTCTTTTGGGACTGTCATATTTCACAAATATCATCCTTTGAAAGTAAAACTGTGTCTACTAATCCAGCTTACATCTCCTCATTCCAGCTTGACCTTACTTCAACAGACCAACTACCCAACATTCAGAAATTGCAACAATGCAGTCGTGGAACCAAGTTGTAACAAATCGATGGTCAGGTAATATAACTGTTCAAGTAATATAATATACTCACAGCTTCCGATCCGGAGAGGACAGCGTTGCGTATCCATGGGAAATTTTTCCAAATTCATAGGACAGCTCGCACTCACAGTCAGCCTTAAAATGATACAGTTCAAAAACAACACAATGTTTAAAACACTTAGCTTTTTTTTATCTATACGCAATCAGCTTTACACAAATTGCAGACGAAGGGACAGCATATGGACGTCAAAAGAAGATGAAGGCAAGTTAATTCAAAACAAGTCACCTAGTGGTACGCGTTCATGGTTTCGAAAAAAAGTCGCCGAAGAAACTTAACAGTTATAAAAGAGATAAGAAATCCAGGCTCAAAAGGTGATAATTGTATGGGGGCTGGAGGTCACATTCTGCATTCGCTTCTCTATACGTTGCCGACTTTCCGATGAAACTACGCGAAAACTCTTGTCACTACAACGCATTTGCAAACAACGCCAAGTGTCGTTCTTTACAGGCCGAGACATTTCATTTATCTGGGGGGAAAATATGCATGATTGCAATAGCACGGAGAGATCTGTACGGTTGCCAGAAAAAATGAATGTCGCTCATTCCGTTTTGCCTCGCCTAAGAGTACACGCTGACGCCAGATATGAAAACTATGCGTAGCCATGTGTCGTGGTAGGAGATATACGACTACATCCAGAAGCTTTGTCGTCGAGCATTGCTGACATTGAGGACGAGAGGTAGCAGTTCTTCAATGAATTGTGCAACTATAATGGCGTTAATGGATCGTTATACTTTGTCTTTTAGAAGCCAAGCGATGCATTGCTACCACTTTTCGAGGCGTTTGTAACAATGTATGCCTCTACAAGAAAGACGCATGCACTTACATATCCACGAGCACTTACTTACATACTTATGTGTTTACTTTGTGGCAAAGAAAAAAGGAGGATAGGAAGGACGCCCACTTTTGCAATATCAAAGCGTCTCTCTGCAAACCAAACCATTAGGCATTTAGGCTTTGAACGTAGTTAGAGCCAGTTTGAAAAACCATTCTTTCCTTAACCGTTTATTTCTTCTCCTTTATTTTACATCCTTTGATTAAGTCTCTCAATGCTTAATTCTCGCCCAGCAATGCCGATTCATGCGGCAAGCCAACCCGAACTTGCTAAAAAGCTTAAGTAAGCTTGCTCTTGTAACGTAGTTCTTTTTTTGAGACTTTAACCATTCAGGCTCGTTGCATATGAGTGAACGTAGGCCTCCACACGTTTCTCCTAAATAAAGTAATATTCCTATTTTCCCACAGCTTTATAGAGACACTTAGCCGAAAAGTTCTCTTCACGCTAAGTACGGAAAACATCAATTACTTTCAACAGTATAGAAAGCTTTCCCTGGTTTTTCAACTATCGTTGAAGGTTATACTATCTATCTGTCTATCTATCTATCTATCTATCTATCTATCGATCGATCGATCGATCGATCGATCAAGCTATCTGTCTGTCTGTCTGTTTGTCTGTCTGTCTGCCTACCTACCTACCTACCTACCTACCTACCTACCTACCTACCACGATGGTATGTACCTTGACGAATACAGCACAGTGCCGTCCTGGGCCAAGCGAACAAACTTGTTGGGTTGAGTGATGGTGTGCAGGTATGAGTGCTTGCCGTTCAAGAACGACGTGTCCGGTCGCCATATTTTCTGCAGCATGGATATGGACAGGGTCATAGACGGCATAGATCCGCGAAAAGCCAGTCGACGGTCCATCCAGCTTTGCCGGAAATAACAATCCATAGAGTACGTCTGGAATGAAGCCGTAGTAAAACGGTCAACTTGAGTTAAAAGAGTGCCGACGCAAATTGCTGGCATTTTCGTACTGTGGATCTCAATGCTAACGCGTCTCGGAACACGTTGGATATATTTTAATACCACTACACAAAAAAACACTTTCGGTATCGATATTGAGGAGGAGGCACCACAAGGACGTGCAAACACAATGAAACGCTGGTCTAAGTCACGTGGCCACAACAACACTCGACGTGCTAGCAGCAGCTCTGTCTTCTGCTGTCAGTTGCACGTGGTGCACGTTAATTAACAATGAATATCGAATTGCCGTCCATCGACACCGACAGTTAGTTTGGCCGCATCAACAACTCAGAGCTCGCAAACCCTGTGAACTGTGTTCCCTCGTCATGACAATGTGCATTGTAGTGGAGTGTGCTTGCGAATGCTGAGCGATGAGAACCATCAAATCATGTTCCAATATTTTATACTTGTATCCTGATTCCGGCGTGTGGAAACCCTTAGTAGTGAATGCCAAGAAAAAAAAGAATGTTCATTTTGCGATGCTTCAAAATCTTGTCAGTAGTTCTTTAAAAGTTATGTCAATAGCTATGCCTGAAAGGTGAGCTCGAATCTCAACGCAGCAAGGTTCAACGGTATGTCCGTCAGCTAACCGTGAGTGAGGTCTGTTCAAACGCATGAAATGCTGCGCAGAGCTAACTAGTTTTTGCTGCTGATCTCATATAAACCTGTTGTGTATTTTAGACTTCTACTAAAAATTTATTCGTCGCTTGATAAGCTACAATATTCTCGAAGGTTTTTTTTATTTTGTCAGCTTGAAGCAAGCTTCCACAACGCTCAGTCCAAAGTCTTAAAGGATTACATAAACTTGTTTCGAGCCTCTTACGTGACGACCTTTAGAAAACGTATTAATACATCGTACTTGATCCATTGATTTCAAGCATGCTTGCTGAACAATAAAAAAAGTCATAATCTTTTTGCCTGTGTTATTATTTTTGTAATCGACCAAAAAACTTTGTCAAAGCGCATCTCACCATATCAACTTCCGACACTGGTCCCATGCTTCGTACTTCAATGTCAATATACACATCCGTTGGCGTGTCTAAAAAATAAAACCAATGAAACACGCACTCAAGCAACCGTCAGGTATTATGACTGCATCACTAAAAACATCAATTTATACTCTTCAAGCTTCAATCGTTCTTTCTTCGTTCTTTCTGATGTAATTGTTTATTGACACGTTGAGCACGAATTCCTAGTCTTCCCTCCAATTACCTTAAAAGAAATTGTAGTTTAGGTGTAAGGGACTAACAATAGCCGAACAAGAAGCATCCCTGGTGCCATAGATGCCACAAAGAGACTTACCTTAGTTAGAAATAACTTTCCAAGTCACCGAGCGAAATTCTTGAAAACGCCCCTAAGCCTTTCAGTTGTCAAAGTCTGTGATGTTGTGATTGTACGCGAGTCATCAACAATTCTTATGTGGTGTCGTAATCGTCCCAGGTTCAACAGAATCGTTCCAGGTGAAGCCCAAGCCAGCCAAGACGTACGATTCTTCTCTCCTTTCCACCACGCGATAAGGGTGCGCGAGAGATCGTCCACTCCTCTCCACGGGCCAAACTACGCGGGAGAGATGAGAGCCGCCGCACGCTCATTGCGCCATCGTGCTGCTAATGCTGAAAACACGATAGTTCCCCCCGAGATGCCCGCAAACAGCGGTAAGTGGTAGATATAAATAGCTTGCCGTTTAAACGTCGAAGCAGCTACTTCTCAGTGGCTTAGTGGTAAACGCCTCGTATTCACGACGCGGAGGTCCCATCGTTCGATTTCGCGCACCGGAGCCTTCTTTGTAGATTTTGTTTTCCTTTCTTGCATTTACATATATATAGATAGCTATACATATACGGTGCATGACATCGACGCCAACGCTGGCGGTGAAATCCAGTCGATAGCATCCATGTAATTGCTATCGCAATAAAAACTCAGCCGAGACAGGCGTGGGCGGGCCAAAGTAAGGACACTTATTCGACAACTGGCTGCAGCCCTTTATTCATGTGAGCAAACTGCTAGGTTACAAGAAATATCTGTCCACTGGAATCGTTCACACTTGCGATTACAATATTCCAGACCACATACGTTTTGAGAGATATCCAACTTCAGCGCCCTGCTTACTCAATGACGCAAAAACCGCAGAGAATGAAGACGAAAGTGGAGGTTACCGGAGGCATTCCATAATCAGTGAGTTGGTGCCCTTTCTAGACTTCGACGTGATGACGTTCGTTCGGCAGCAGCTGTTCTCTAGATCAGCTTCCTTCTTTTTCCCGCGACCCTCTGAAGATGACGCTTCTAATGTGTTGAATAAATAGGGGAAGCCCTTATTTTGGATGCCCGCCACGCCCACCAAGATTTCGCCTAAACATAGATCCCCCCAGAACCTCACAGGGACACCGACCCGGAAACGGTCGGGCTAAAAACTTTCAACCTTTCGATGCGCCGCACGTATTTCTCAACCAACGATGTTTCTTTAATGACACTTTAATGCTTGACGTCTTGTCAACAAGGCCTCTCCCCCCTTTATTCCTTTCTCGTACATTTTACTTTTCACTCCCACTGCTGGTGAAAATTCTGAATATCCATCCAAGCGATCAATCCTTATTTTTTCGCATTTATCACTCGCTTTCTTCATTCATCTTTTCTGCTTTCGTCCCAACCGTTCTGGTGTATAGTTATCAGCACTGAACGACTAGCCCGGATTATCACATCACTGTTGCGGGGTAATAATTTACGGCCAGACAAGGTTCCAAATAAGCTTTTTTTTTTTGCGGAAAAATTCTTGCGCCGAAATGGCTAACGCCACCGGGGACGTCTCGACGCGCACGATATTTGTCAAGTAGAGAAATATGGTGGGTTTTGTGGACTCCCCTCTGCACTGCCTGATACATCGCGCATCGTTTGTACCGCTGTTGTACATTTAGTAACTGCGTAACTGCCATGGAAGACCTCCCACCACGACAGTACCGAGAAGCTGCCCCGAGAGACACCGCGCAGCCTGTAAGAATTCCTGGTGTGATGGATAAATAAAGGAGAAGAACCACACGCGTGTGAGATTTGCTCAAATGCTGCTGCCTTCGCGCACAAGTTAAACAAGCAGCTCTAAATCCCAGAAATGAAGGTTGATTTCCTCATAGTCAAAAGGAAGCAAACAACACCCCTAATTGTCAAAGAGGCAAAGACGTATAGGAAGCGAACCAGATCCTATGGGAACGCGAACCTACAAGCTTTACTGATGCTGCTCCATAAAAGTGATGTAAAGGCGTAGCGGAGTCTTCTAACCATAATATTTGCAGTTGCTGTACACTATAGGTGCATTACACATGCCCATGCCTTCTGCGTTTTAGCCTTGTTTGCGCGCAACTATTTTTTTTTCCTTTGCAAGTACACCAGCCCGAGGGTAGAGAAGATACACATAGAGTGGACATTTAATTTCATTGAGCCCTCAGGATGGAAGGATATTACAGAAAGTGGACACAATACAATACAGAAAGAAAATTAACACTTCAACGTTCAAGCGAGAAATGCTGACAAATCAAGGGGGGGGGGGCACAAAAACCAAAACAACTATAGTTCAAATCCTCCAATATAAGGCACAGTAAATGAAAGCAAAAGCATGGTGTAACACCAACACTTTAATCAAAGAAAACCGACAGAATCTGAATGTCATACTTTATAGCTGTGATCAATGTGTGATGGGGCATACTGTCATAGATAGACAAACTGCGGCCCGCGGGGAATAATTATAGAGCCCGCCGCTTGACGCAATTCCGCCTCCCCCACCCCCCCACCCCTTTTTTTTTTCTTTTGTCACTTCTTAAACTTCGGCATGGCAATTTGTCTTGAAATAACATTTTCACACGTATACCCTATGTGGGATTGCAACTTTATGCCATGGTGGTCTAGTGCTTATGGTCCTCGACTGCTGGCCCGCAAGTCGCAGGATCGAATACCAGCCGCGGTGGTCGCATTTTCTACGGAGGCGGAAGTGCTTAAAGACAATGGGCTTAGATTTAGATGCACATTAAGAAACACCAGGTCATCAAAATACCCAGAGTGCCCCACTACGGTGTGTTTCACAATTATATGGTGTTTTTGAGACGTTAAACCCCATCAATTATTATTAACTCTGTGTCAATCGTGCTGCAGATGAACATTATTTCTCACCCAGTTTCGCAAATTATTGTCAATTAGCCGAACTTTAACGCTTTGCCTGCAAAGCCCCCCTACACGCTTTACCATCCAACATACCACTGCGTCGGCTTGATGCAACCTGGCCCATCCCCCTCAAAGGGCAGCGGATGTTAAGTCCTCAACTAATATAACATAATTCGTGAAATACGACAAGGACAGCTGATGTATGACCAAAGTTGTAAATGGATGACGCATCCTTACGTATATATATAACTAAACTCACAGGGCGCTGTGACGAAATAACGTGGTGAAACGAACACGGTAGTATAGATTCGAACTTTCTTTCTTAAGACCTTTAAAAGTTACTACCTATTGTTGATAGCGGCTAGGGTAGTTAGCGGTCACTAAATGCTGGTAGTAACGGCAAAGGTTGCACCACTGTTACCATTCTCGCCGTTACTAACTGCACTTACTAGAAGGGTGTAACATATGTGACAAACCATTACTTCCCTATAGTTAACAGGTAATACTACTTGTTTTTTTTAAGTGTGTACTCTTCTAAAGTTGCGTTAGTTCTACTGTTGTGTTAAAGTATCATTGTCAGCACATTTAGGCGTATAGACGGTTTCAAGGTCACAAACGATGTAACCGAAAAACTTCCGGTCACCTCATTTACCAGCTCCTAACTTCGAAACTGAAAGCACGTGCTGGAGTTTTCTTCAAGGGTAAGAAAAGTCTCTTTTTAGATTTTCAGATAAAATAAACGTGCGTAAAGTTCAAGGGAATCTCTTCTATTTTTTATGTAGCTCAAAAGAACATTTATTTGAATATATTTTGCCAAATAAGAAAAAGAAATTGTAGAAAAACAGCAGGCTATTTTCTAAAGCTCTTCTTGCCCACCGATGCTATTCGGAGGACGAATCAGATGCCATCAAGGGCCTATGGTCTTGTTCTTATTTAGGGACGGCTTACTGCTCTCCCATTGTTGAGTACCAAGTACTCAAAATCGTTAAACATTTTTCTAAATATACTTCTACAGCCACCTCCTTCAAGATCATGCGTACTAGACCTTCTATTTAGTATACATGTTACCCACGTTGCGACAATTTTCCTTCTCATATCGACAAAAAAATTTTTGAGCAAGACAAAAAATTCCACGTCGCTAATGAACGTTCAATAATCCAGCCCTTCTCGCTTATTCAAGAGCAAAAATCAAAGAGGTAATCATGCCACACGTGCTACTTCCACCAGTAAACAACAGGGTTCTTTTCGTCACATATTTGTTGTGATAGCTTAATGGTCAGTGTTCACAACCTGAAATCATTAAAATGCAGTAAACAAGTGTTAAATTCTTAAGAGTTAGCGTATTGCCTTCGTGATTTGCCTTCGCGATTTGGCAACACTCTTGCAAAGAAAACTCACCGACTCTTCCAGGTCTGACGTGATGATTGTAACCTTGCAAAAGGCTGTCCAGCAGTAACGACACGTTCTTGTTGTTCTGTTTATTGGACCTGCCGATGTTGTAGCCCCTGAGATGAAGAAAGGTGCATCCACCTCGCATCATTATTTCCGTTGTATCTGAGCACGTTCATTGAACTATCTCTACCCTACCCTCCTACCACGCCCAACACAGGTTGAACAAAACTTGAAGTACACGTTACGATACGGGCCACACAAAACCAAATTAACAATTATACATCCAGAAAACAACGACTGTGCAAAGAGACAAGTACCACAGGAAATCTTATGTTTCATAGCACTCTAAAAACACGGGCTCAGATGAGCGTCACACACACACGCAGGCGCTAACTTGCGAATTGTTGCAAGTTAGCGCCTGTTACGTCTTTTTCCGTCCATGCTTTCTCATGCGCCATAAAACTTCAGTATGACATACCAACACACCCAAAACATTACGTCACAAGCAAGTACACTTATACTACACTGCAACACGCAAAGACCCTTGTAAGCATTCCTTAATTAGTATTGCTGCATCTTTATCGCACCCCCTTTTTTTTTTCATCTGGTGTGTAGAGTAGCCAACCAAGTCAAAGCTTGGTTAACTCCCCTGCTTTTTCATTCATTTCTCTTTTACTATCTTTGTCTCTCTCGTTCGCTCACGGATGGCTGGAAAACACTTTATTGAAAGTCAGCTGATGTTTCTTGAGAAGTCCATTGCAACAAATCACTTAGCATTTGGTGGCCGTGTTATCAGTGTTTCATCACAGTTTTGGGGCCCTCAATTCTTACGCGATTTCGTAAACAAATATTGTCAAAGTTTTACTCAAGCATTCTGGCCATCTAAGAAGTTTTATTTCAGACCAAAAGCTAGCAGAAGACAGAGAAATGCTATGCCATTTTCCCATTTTCCTGTCAGTGTCACCTGGTGCCGCTCAGCTATCGCTTTCGGAGTTCCTCACTCAAGGTCCCCAAAAATGCATGGTGTGCACAAAGGGAGCGCGGTTTTGTGCTTCCTGCAAACAGTCGTTTCTGTATCTTTTAACGTAATACGAAAGAACTACTGGGCAGCCACTGTGATACCTATAGAGCGGTACATAAGATGCTCCCTACGCATCACTTAGTAAGGACCATTCAAAGCATGTAGTCCTACTGTCCGTAATACACAACGTGTTCTTCGTTGGCTACCTCAAGTACAACTGGGCTGCCTTTCTTCCCTATCTGCAACTGTCGAAAGCACATGAGCCATTTAGCTTTTGCTAAACGCTTCTTCTCCTAATGCAGCGCGTTTCCGCTACTTTTTAATTATTTGGAACGGCTTGCCTGTACGCATCTGCACAGACGTAAATCCTTCTCACACGCACCCTCTCTTTTGCTCTTCAAGGTCTTGCTCTGCCCATTCTTTGGGTCGACTGAGCTTAACTGTCAAGTACCACCTAAAGCGACCTTGCGAACTACGCATATAGGGGGCGCCTCACATTGTGAAGCTCATCACCGAAGGCAGTAAAGTTGTCGTGAAGAAGAGCGGGACCAGCTGTGGTGCCCAGTGCAGCATGCCAAAACAGACTTGCCAAGCAAGTCAGCATCAAGATGGGATCGCCACCTGAAAGTAATGAAAAAAAAACAAATCAAAACGAGGCGTAAAGAGGCTGACACCAATAGCTTAAGTCAAATATGATCTAACAACTTCATCAAATGGGCTAGCTGGCACATGAGATTTACTGAAAAATAACTGATCGTCATAACATCGTATCTTTGTCTGCGCGAACCAGTGAGGTAATTTATTGATAACCGATTCATTGTTTTATTGCTGTATAATCATACGTCACACAAACGTCTAAAGGCGTCTCTCTTTTACAGTGACAGCTGTAATGAGATCACAACTCGGGTCACGGGCAGTTGTCCGCCGCCGCCGCTGGTGTCCGTAACCACATCGCATAAAAATAGACAAAAAACTAGTATACCAATGACACAGTGTGGGTCAAACCTAGGTCCGCGGCGTGTCAGATCAGTATTCTACCACTGAGCCACGCCGGTGCTAGGGACTTGTTGGCAAACTTGCCTAGGCAGGCTCGATGTCGGGAAAGCAACCACGTTAACACGATTTATAAAGCGTTTCAAAACAGCGAAAGAACAACCAGTCGTCGCACAATGCGAATAGCGTAACGAGTGCGCCGTCCAATGCTCCAACCCAATTCAAAGGTTTTTTATTGTTCCCCTATTACATGTGGCGCATACCCACTTCAGTCATAATTCCTCATCGTCCTCTCAGCCACTGCATGAACAATTGGCATGAAACTCCTTGCAAGTGTTTAGCGGATACCACGCTTCTCAGAAGAATGACGAAAAATAGCATAGCAAATGCCGGCCTACTACCCAAATAAATTTATTAATAATAACCTAGTGGGTATAAAGCAAGTTCGCTTGGATTAGTTACACAATGAGTGTTTCTAAAAGGCTCTGAAGAGCTCTTCTAGCTTTCGCTGTCACTGTGCTGCGCCTTCCACACAGGCCTGGCATTCGTTTTTTTTTTTATATTTGAGGCCTGATGAATTACTACAATGTGTCGCTTTTGTTAGTTTAGTCTAGGTAATTTTTAACCTAAACTTGTATGCATGCCAAAAACTGTAACAGAGAGTACAACTGACACAGTAACGAGCGCTTGAACTACGACTTCAGAGGATATCAATGAAATTTCTCTTGATAATTCTGAAATATGTTTTCGCACGTTATAAATACAGCAGGCTGTATGGGCCAGAAACCATAAATTTACAGTGTCTGTAGTGTTCCTTAGATGATTGTCACCGTGTACAGATATCACGGTACTTGATTTGATGATTGATATGTGGGGTTTAACATCCCAAAACCACTATAAGATTATGAGAGACGCCGTAGTGGAGGGCTTCGGAAATTTCGACAACCTGGGGTTCTTTAACGTGCACTCAAATATGAGCACACCGGCCTACAACATTTTCGCCTCCATCGGAAATACAGCCACCGCAGCCTGGATTCGATCCCGCGACCCGCGGGTCAGCAGCCGAGTACCTTAGCTACTAGACCACGACGGTGGGGCAGATATCACGGTACTTAGCCTTTGCGATACTTTCAGCACTTTCTGCCTGGGTTCGCGTTGCTGGGGATGTTCCAACTAAGTTTATAGAAATTATTTCTGTCAATTTATAACAATACTCAAACTCGCTTTTGTTCTTCTAAACCTTTGAAATAGTATTGGGTGTCGTTCCTTTGAGTCGGTACACAAGAAGACGCCTGCAAAAAGGTTCAGAGATCACCTAAAATATCCCTGAAAATTTTTTCTCTTTTTTTTCAAGGTACATCCTGCTCTTGCATTTTCTTTTCTTCTTACTCAGAAATAGCATCGATTCTTATTCGTAGCTGCGCATAAATAACTTAAGAGAGACAAAGTGCGGCATTGACTTACCTGAACATATAAACTGCACAATATCTTCTAATTCAAAGAAAACTGGTCGAGTATAATATTACTTTGACCATAAAAATAAAGACGCGAACCTTAAGCGCCTTCTGTGTTGTGACACTGGCGGCGTGCAGGGCAAGGAAAAAGGTGGCGCATTGAAAAGGTGCCCAGTCAATGGTTTGGGGCCAACGAAGACCTGCACAGATCTACGACTTTTTTTTCTTTCGATTTCTATTTTCGCAGAATAAGATTTCATATAAGTAGACATCGTGGCGCACAAGTGCGAAGACGCGCAGCTTCAAGGCCTCACTCCACGTATCCGTCGCAGCGCGTCAGCGCTTACTCTTTGACGCGACATCTAGCCCTCTACCATAAGGAGAGAGAGAGAGAGAGCACGGCTTCACGTAGCCAAGCGCCCACTCTCTCTATAGCGAGAGGGCGGCGCCAGGTCAGAAAGCCTAGCGCTGACGCGCTGCGAAAGACACGTGGGGTGAGGCCTTTACTCAATATGCTGCGTCTTGGTGACACTGGGACTTGGTGATTTCGCCTGTCGAAACCATCCTATGATTGTGAGGCACGCAACACTAGTTGACTATGAACTTATTTTGATCATCTGGAGTTCTTAGACCCTATCATGAATCTGGGCAAGCGGCGCCTTTTTCATTTCGCCAACACCTAATGCGGTGTCCATGGCCGGGACTCAAACCCGCGTCCTTGAGTTAAGAAGCGCCGCGGCATAGCCGCCGAGCTGCAACGGACAGCCTACGCAGGTAACATCGTCCTCCTTCTCCGCAACTCCTTTTATCGTATCAGCGATGGACTAACAAAAGCTCAACTTCCCCGCCGTGGTGGTCTAGTGGCTAAAGAACTCGGTTGCTGACCCGCAGGTCGTGGGATCAAATCCCGGCTGTGGTGGCTGCAGTTCCGACGAAGACAGAAATGCTGTAGGCCCGTGTGCTAAGATTTAGGTGCACGTTAAAGAACCCCAGGGGGTCGAAATTTCCGGTGCCCTACACTACGGCGCCTCTCATAATCATATGGTTGTTTTGGGACGCTAAACTCCTAATATCAATCAAAAGCTCAACTTATCGGTTCAACTCATCATATGGAATTTTCTTATATGGTCTCTTGCACGCTTGTTAAGTAGTCTGACTCACCCAACTGTACCGCATGGAACACTCGAGATTACTTTAAAAACCTCCAGTGTGATTGCTCATGTTTCGGCGCAGGGTGGCAGATTCTGAAGGCAGCACTTCATTCGCAGCGCGGATGGAGCTTGACGCTGCGACACCTCCATGGACCACGGCTACGCCGCGAATGAGCGATGTACAGTGCACAAGGGCTGTTGGTGTGTTTGTGAACAGCACAACTAAGCGAAACTTTGTGAGTATCTGTTTTGTGTATACCTGTATCCAAGGTTGCACGTGTTGTGTGTGTGTGTGGGGGGGGGGGGGAGGGGGGCATTATTACCAAGGTCAACACTTGACCCATGGAAAAGCAAGCTGGGCGACGAACCAGACTAGCATCTCCAGGGCGATTACTCAAAAAAATATTATCTATCTAAGCCTTCACCGACTTTTCTCAGCATATATAATAAGATATCG